TATTGAATAAACATCATGGTGTCTATTTACTTTTGAGATGTCTCTGTAGTTTGATATTACCAATTTTTAATATTGTATCTTCACAAAATTTGGCAGACATTCAGTAAACATTACAAGTCTATAACAAACAAAAATTCAGATTTTTTGATGATGTATTTTTAATAAACTAAAAAAGGATTGGTCCGTGAATATATCAAGTCTTTTTTTGACTAGTCTGAGTGCAAACTGATTTATGTTAAGATTAAGAATACTTTCTTCCTCTCAAAAATCTCAAATTTTATTTGCATATTCTCTAAAACCTCCTAAATACATTTCAAACACTTGTTTTCAGTAAAACTTTATATTTTATCTGTTATTTTCTCAACCCTAACTCTTTACAAGGTCAATTTGACCAACCTCATAATCATCAAAAGAAATTGAAAGAAATCTAAATTACCATTTTTTTTATTTCTATAATGACTTCAAACTGTAACATGAAACTATAACTGTTCATCTTACGTAGCCATAAATTTGTAACAGTATACATCTATTTATACTTAAAAGTTTATTGTTTTATTTCCCTTTGAATCCATGTCTAACTACTATTTGTGGCATTATAAGTTGGAAATCACTTGGGGAAACGTGGAGCTCACATTACGCTATCGAATTACATTACCCATGGGCTACTACAAGCTGCTTGTGTGTGTGCCTTGTGAAAATTTTTTATTACATAATTATTATTCATTTTACCTAATCTAACTTTAACTAACCTAAAGAGATTCTTATGTTTACATTTTAGTTACTTTTATAAAAATAAAAAATAAATAATACACATGAAAATCAAGAAATAAAGTACTTACCTGGACCTTATTTTATTTTGGTGTCAACTGTTGATGACACTTAACCTTACTTTTTTAATACTAATTGTACTATTGCATTAAATAATGCACCAAAGAACACAGAATAATAACGTGCAAAAAACAGACATCTCATAACTATCACAATTTTTCTGGATGGGACAAGAGCCATTACAAATTCATCCAAACTAGTCAATATCTTCCTTGTGGGAACGAAGCTCGTACTAAAAGAGAAATTGACAATTTTCTGTTCAGAATATAAGGAAATATAATAAGTCATTTGACAGATGAAAACCTTGGCTTTCTATTGGTTATAAATAATATATTATTAAACATAAGAGAGAACCATTAACAAATCCTGAAAGAGAGAATGTGACACGTGGGTGTAGCAAGCGGTGTACGATTTTCTATTTGATAGCTCTGTAACAAAACAAGATTGAAAGCTATAAAAATGATGCTTTATCTCAGCAATGAAACTTTTATAGTGAGTAATTTATGTTAAATTTCATACTTATTGGAGGGGTGATGATTATATATATATATAGGAGAGGGGATGCCTAGAGAAAAAATGTCAAATTTTCCACACTAAGGTAAATTCAGGATTGTTTTTATTATTGCTTTTTAAAATTAAGTACTATTAAAATATGGATTACTAGCTAGGAGTTTATGCTATCCTATTTAGTATAACGTTAGTATATTAGGCAGTAAAGGATGCCTATGTCGAGAGGGTTAACACAAAAATCACAGTGCACTCAGACTATTCAACACTCTGACTCCATATATTCAGGGACAAATCTTTAGTAGAAAATTAATTTAAAACTCTGATTTTGTCTGGGTAGAAAAAGACTAACAGCTTACCAAATTTTGTGACAATACACAAACTACATTAAAAGTTATAGTATGGATAATTTCATGGTTACAAGGTTGATCAAAATAGCTAAGCCCATATTAAGAGTTTTAAGCACATAGCTAGGAACTATCTGTGCTGTGTCAACCTTAAATACAGAAACATAATTTCTTGCATTATAAGACCTTATATACCTACTGCTGAGCCATTGGGGAGCAAGCCAAGAAATACAAAAATTTTTAGAATGAAAAAATTATTGAATTTCTACCAACAAAAAACAAATTAACTATTAAACGAGCTCTAACAATAGAAAATGCTTAGCAAACTTAAAATCATATAAAATTTAAATCTTAAATACTTTTTAAAATACTATAAAAAAACCATGACACAAAATATGTGCTAACTAACATTATGTTCCCATCTTAAGACTTTCACCATAATAATGATGTTTACTTTGATAACCTATTGAACAAGAACAACTGTTCATCTCTAAATGTAATATTTTTGCTGCATACATACACAATTTTTTTTATTTGAAAACTAACCTTATTTCTTTATGTTTAATAGTTTCATTATAAAATTCTGCGAAAAGTTTCCAAATGTTTTTCCTACAAAAATACTAAGGCTCTGAAAGGAATTGAATGCATTATATTGAACAAAGGAAGAACATGTGGCAGATGTAGTGTGGTTAAGATATTATTATTATTAATTTTCTCTCATAAACTCTAAAGAATACACAAATGGGAATTTCAAGATTGCACTCTTTAACTTCCTTGTCTTCTTTTAATGCAACTAGTAATAAAATAGCTAAAAAAAAACATCAAAAAAGTTTGGTGAAACTTTGCAAAAATAAAATAAAGAACCAAGCTGAAAAGACTAATATCATTGGTTCAACATTCAGAAAGTTTCTGAAATCTTCAAACACATACTGTGTTTTGTAACTAACACATCATGATAGACAGAAATAAGTTTAGGGTAAGTAAAACATTTGAAATTTTTTGAGAAGATAAAACTTTTTATGTTTCCTTATTGTCAAATGAACAATAATTAATTAGTTCACTTGCCTTTTATAAGGGTCTGTACTAGTCCTCACTGATCGACGGTACTGTAGCCTAATTTGTCCTTCACTAGATGGGCTTAGCCTATACAAGAAAAGGACATGATAAATCAAACAGTTTCAAATCTACAAAATAATCTCTGTTAATCTGTAAATAAAAAAACTGTTACCTAAACTCTTACAACAAGTAGCACTGCAGGTACAAATTGTCCATACACCCCATGGTATGTCACATACACAATCAGTATGAACGTTTGAAAAGCAAGTGTAAAAATATATATGTATAACATAACATAGTGTTTTGGGGCAACGTGGGACCAATTGGTCCATCTCGGCTGTTCCATCCTCTAAACTAAACTAATGGGTCTATAATTACTGGGACAATTTTTATCACCTCCCTTTAAAAGAGGAGTTACATTAGCCAATTTCCAATCCTATGATAATTGCCCACTATTCAAGGACTGACAAAAAAAGTAGCAAGTGACTCACATATCCAATCTTTAACCTCCTTCAAAATCCTTGGGGAAATATTATACGGCCCATGAGCATTATTGTTTTTAAAACTTTCCAATTTTTTTAAACCAGCTTAGAATTAAAGCAGTCATCTTGTTTCCATTTATCAACTGTTCATGATGTGGAATACTGCTTAAATCTTCATTAGTAAAAACTGAAGAAAAAACAAAGTTTAATAACCTTGCCATCTCATAATCATCAGATAATAGCCTTCCTCTATCATCCCTGAAGGGTCCTACCCTCATCCTAACATTCTGTTTACCCTTAATGTATTTAAAGAAATCC